GGTGAGGTGTTTATATGATACAGCTAGACTATTCTGCTAGTTAAGTCAGCCTGAGATATCTTAGACGTGATGGGCAGCGGTCTAACCCTCACATAAAATGAATGGTTGAAAATCGAGCACAGTCAATTCTACTGACTTATCAAGTAACAGTAACACCTTCAGCTGGTAATATTCAAAAGACAAAAAGAAAATTGATGAAGATGAAAAGTTTGCCAAAAATGACATCATACGGCATGAAAGAGAAGCTGAAGGGCTCGGTCAAAGTTAGCTTAATAACAGACAGTGACCAGAATATTGCTTTTATTTAAATTACAACAAAGACCACACTTCAACAGTCTCTATACGCTATTCATATTTCATGATTTATATGATCTGGATCCGTACCGGTGGGAACCGTCGGATTACATGACAAAAGTGCAGAGGAGTGGAGGAGTTCTGTAGAACTAAAATCAGAATAGAGAAAAACCAAGTAACAATATAAAGAGTACGAATGAAGGAATTGGTGAATCAACACCATAAAAACCCAAGGTCGAGCTTGGTGCCTTCCCCGAGTAATACCTAACTCGCTTTCATGAGACCAACCACTGTCCAAGCAGGTTACATTTACCTTCGAAAAGACTGCCTTGTAGAAAAATGTACTAGAAAGGAAGGAAAGACGTTCAAACCAAAACAGTACTAGGAGAGCATGAAATATGAACCCCTTTCATACAAGTCGTGTAATAAGGGGCTGCAACCGCAAGTTGCACACGTCCACTTAATACGACGCCATTTGATCTTGAGGAAACTGGAATTGATGGAAACAGGTTTTAGAAAATCGGAATGAAGTCGTAACTAAGGTTTTTTTTATACTCCTTGGTTGCAACAGGTCAACTATTACCCGATCTCATAATGTCTGTCGTAAGGGGAAGGGGGAGGAGCGGGTAATAGCCAACAGGAGCAGTGCATAACCTAGATGGTTGCCTGAATGCTTTCCGTGATTTTTGATAGCTAAATTATGGCATAACAATAGAATGGCTAGCGGGCTACCATTAGTCGTCACTGTGAAGTTCTCTTTTCAAGCAATCTCCATTTTCTTCGTAACGCTTCCTACCCTATCCCTATCTCGGAAAATTTCATCCTCCTACTGTTTTCGGGAAAAGTAGGTTTTAATGGTTTGACACGTCCCAATTCTCTCTTAGCACCCAACATCAATAAACCACCAACTTTCGGAAATCGACCACAAACTGGACTACACGTGATACAGGAGATCAGATGAAGTGTATCTGGCTAGGTGATCTGCAACCGTAAAAGATTTTTTCTTTCAGGTATGACTTCTCCTTCCAATTCTAGTCCCTTATTCCTCCTATTTTCTGAAATACTCCGATCACGCCAGCTCTGGCGCCTAGGACTGACCCCTCTTGGAACACTCAGAACCACTCCTACTGCAATGTGCTGACTTTTCGCTCGTCATGCCGAGAATGACGAGCCTGTAGAGGATCACGAAAACAGGTTTCCACCCAGTTTACGAGAAAAGCCGGTAAATGGTTGCCGTAAAAAGTTCTATTATATAGTTTGAGACAACTTATGTTAGTCAATAGAGCCGACGTAATGCATCGATACACCCATCACAAAGTGTAACGAGCCAATACGCTTTAGGGCTGCTGAACATATAAACGGTGTTTCAGTTAGTTTATAACATGCATATGTATGTAGTTTATGGATTTAGAGCAGAAATATTGCCCAACGGGGAGGTAAGGAGGAGGGGCTTTCTAAAAGGTCTGAAATCCAAAGAAGTTCTCCGGCCTCAGACTGAAGTTGAGCCAGCGGTCTGCGAACGTTTTAAGGCTCTTGAAGCACTCCTGAGAATGTCTCAATGCTATTCTAGATTGATCTTCTTAGTTGCGATTTGGCAACCATTCCGATTACTAATCAGCTTCAAGCTCATTCTGAGCAGCCGACCTTTGTGGACTTCGTTTACATTTTTCATCCTCCGAAATCGCTTTTTAGGTCCCCGAGTAACTCGGGAGACGGGCAGTAGGAAAGGTTTTGTGTAACCGACTGTCGCGGACCATTTCCCTCATTCTTTATACAGATCAATCTGTATGCGATCCTTATTTTAGGCATGATTCTACTGTTAGTTCTTTTATTCCTGAATTTCTTATTTGCTGCTGCATTCTGCTATATTCCTCCGCGCGCGGCGTCTCTCTCTCCGCGACGCGACAATTTCGTTCCTACTGCACCACACCCGAGTAACTCCACTCTTCCAAAACTTTTTGTATTACTTGCAATTTGTTCCCTAATGGTTTTAAAACAACCATCAGCATGTGAATGGTGCCGCTCCTGGCTGGTCTGTATTCTCAACATCAATTAGTAGTAAGGAGTAATATGGAAATGCTGATCAGTACTGCTGTGCGCCATGCATACAATTTCCGTTCAAATTCATAGCAGCGCTGTTTGAAGGGCAATCAAGCAATGCACTACTACTGATGAGCAATGCAAAGATTTTACTCTTTTAGAAAGTTTGTACCAAATAACAACGAAGGACTTGATTGGCTCAGAGACGCACTTTAGAGTAAAAGAGTAACAGTGCATCACTTTTCTCTCCATACAAAGAGAAGTCGTTAGGTCGTCAAAAGGTGTCAAGGCATTCAAACTTCAATATATAAACAGCTACATCAAAAAAGTACGTACGTAATACCATACTTCTCTACGATTCTGCCCAACCCCTCCCCTTCCTCCCCCCTCTCCCAGAGAAAATAGAGGGGGAATCCAGAGTGGAAAAGGTTCTGACCTAGAAGTGCGTGTGTTCCCAACTGGCCAATTCCCTCCACTCGATTTTCACCCTTTTGCAGCACTTCGTTCAAGCTGCGAGATTGCCTTTGCCTCACAAGTTGGTCTGAAATTCCCAGGAGCATTCACTCGGCGCCTACATATCTTCTTCACTCGAGACGGGGTGACTCATCCTGCAGAACATCGTCATCACTGCCTTAGAGCTTTGCAGCCCACAAAAAACCTATAAATCAACAAATTCAGCTGAGAAGTCCAGAATAAAGTAAAACTGAAGCTGCCGGAATAGTATCAAAATGCGCTTTGCTTTTGACTCGGGGGGTGAATCCCAGAGGCATGCTCATTCGTAGTTTACAATGAAATGAGGAATATTCAGGTGAAAAGTTGATGATTTTTATTTCCCCAATTAGGTCCGACATCTGTTAGTTGTCCCAATATAGAAGTAAAATGGGTGGTCAACCTCGAGGGAATCGCATAATCGGGTTGGTCTAGTGCCAGCGCTGCTCGACACTGCTCCGCTCATATGAAAGCGTTCTTAGACGTCTACTTATTTTGCCCTACCCATTCCACACCCATCTCGAGTCTTTATGAATGACGAACGTTATCTACCTTCCCGGACGCTACTGGGAATTGCATTGTCACAGAGAGGCTCTTCCACCTCATCAAAGAGTTATTGCCCGGATATCTTGTAAATACCGAATGGGACTAAAAGAAACGCATCCATCTAAGGTGATGAATAAGCGCTGTCAAAAGGACGACGGCTTCAGTTGATGGCGTACTCTCGCCTTGGTTTTAGTGGGCACCCTGATAATTGGCTTTCGGACGACCTTCCTCCCTAAAAGAGCAGCTGGCGACAACATTAGTGCCAACTGTTAGATATCGAAACTCAATTTATTAGTTCATGCCCCCAACAGAAAGGGGACAACTTAGAAGGTTATGTTTTCAACTTATGCGCTATATGTTCTAATTGTTTCAAAAAAATCAAAGTATCGATGATGATTAAGTCGATAGTGAGTTATGGCGAGAAATCTAGGCACCTTCAAACCTTTATTTCCCTTATCTGCACAGGAGAAGCAGTTTTCTACCCTGTGCGGCTTTCTGAGGGTCGTTGCAAATCCCATGCCATAAAAAGTCTAGGGGCTGAAATGAGCAACCTAAAAAAAAGACCAACAAAGCCGAACGGGTAGCCGTAGATACAGCTGGCGAATGTCGTGCACGCTGGCAATTAATCCCCGGTTTCAGACGGCCTTTAGCGCCATCTCGTGGCATTGGGGAGCATTAGGTTTAGGAACCAACTGGGGACGTCCTAACAGAATTTCGCGATCCACAAATATCATAAGATGCTAGGGGAGCGACTCGAAAGTAGAATTCCCTTCAAAGGGCTCTCTAAGCAGTGGAAAGCCTGCAGTGCAATATTGATGATTTTATTGTTTTTCAAACATTTTGAGCCAAAAATCTTCTTGGTCATACCAAAAACCGTTCAGTCAGCTGGA